AAATGTATTGCATTTGGTCATTTTCGATTATTTGATCTGAATATTGTAATTTATTGAACCCTTCTGGTAGTTTTTCTAACTCAAAGAAAGTTTCTGAGTCACGTGACGGAAGAGCTTACTCACCAATCTGCTTTAATCGTTTGATCTGCATTCAGGAATTTTCTTACCTGGAAGTCCTACTCTCTTTGATCCGACCGAACCTGGGATGCGTATCGCCTATGATCTCTCTTTTGAAGATATGGTAAGCTACTTCCTCTTAATTTTCTGGAGTCAAGTTTTTTTTTTTCAGGATCTTGTGTGTAGCACAGCACAAACGCTATTGCGAGTCATTTGTAACGGCGGACATGCTGCAGTTTTGGGAACGGACCCCAGTAAGATTGGCATTGGTAAGTCATTCTCTTCCAGTTCGCAACTTTTTTGACAGTTTATAAGATTTTAAGTTATTTTATCCCTTATCTATTAATTTCTCTTTCTTTTGTACAAGTTTTTTTTCCAAATCCTATAACTTTGTCAGATCTCAGTAAGGAAGTGTCTGTATGGAATGGTGTAGCAGTGTCTCCTCTAGAAGTTGCTTATACGGAAGATTGCATGAAACCAAAGTTCTGCGAGGCAGATGAAGCGCTGGATCAAGAAGTTGTGAAAGCATGAATAGTATTGGAATAGGGGCAAAAGTAGGTGTAGATTTTGAAATAATTGGCAGACTAGAGATTGGTTAGCTATTGTTAGCCCTAATATCTATATCTCTTGTCTGTCTCATGTCCCTCATCATCAAAGTATCGAGGTTGAGGCTGCCTCTGCTTTATGTAAAAAGCTCCCTTTTTCTGCCAATGTCTCCTTTATGATATCTAGCAGTAATGGAAGTAAAAAGCAGAAGAACTCAAAGAGCCGACTTGACATATTGTTATACCTACTTGTGTCCCTCAATACTCCATTAAATTTGATCTTGTCTTCCTACCAGCTCTTTGTGGTTGTTCTTACGCCTTAATTATGTTTTCAACAATTCCTTTGCTTT